TTAATGCTAAAAACTGTATCATTACTCATGGTGGGTACAGCACAGATAGCCCATTGTGTAGCTTTCTGCTTAACTACAAACAAATACTTACCACAGTACAACTGAGCTGTTTAGCTGCCTTTTGACCCCAGTTTTTATATAACCCCACAAAGTCTCAAGAATATTTGCACTGGGACTTCATGCAGGTTAATTCATGATTCTGAATGTTCCATTGGCCTCTTTTTTTTATCAAGATATCATTTCACCAAATTTGCTGTATGCTTGGAATCATTATTTTACCGGAAGCTGAATCCCTGCCTGTTGATTTGTGTTTGTGAGGGAATGACATAGTTAGGATGAACACTGTGTAAATCACTGACACCAGTGTCTGAGATGCAGTTCCAAACATATACTAATCTCCTATCATGCTTGACTGTAGATGTTGTACATTGACTACTGTATTGTTCTCCTCTCTGCCATTGAACAGTCTTTCACTGATTTTTGTTGAACAATTTGAACTTGAATTAATCTGTAAAGGGTGATCACCTTCAACTCATTTCACTGTTCTTGGTCCAATGACCCTTCATTTTAACCTTTTGATTTGATTACTATTTCTCATCAGTAGTTTTGAGCAGCTTCATGTCCATTAAGACCGCTTCATACTAATGTATATTTTACCAATTTTAATGTAATATGTACACACCCATATTTACAGGAAGATAATAGGAATCAGGTAAGGTCAAAGTTCAATTTATATTTTGTTTCTCTTATAGTATAGATGTTTCTATGCCATATTGTAAAATTGTAAACTCAAGTCTTCTTGATTTGCTGAGATATATACAAGAAAGTTGTACCTGCGTACCATGCTCCCTCATCACATTCTGTCTTTCAAAAATATCAATAATTCCCTTTAACATTTCCTATTTAACTGCTTATAACCAACAGGAAAAGAAGATTTTAATTTACTGAATTCCATATAAGACTAATTCATTTTGATGACAATTTTTGAAATATTGGGCCTACAGTTTCATTGTAGTTATTGCTGAGATTACTTTGACAGGTAATTGAATTATTTTAACCCACTATAGCTTAGTTAAAAAGCTAGTTAAGTTATAGTAGTTTTAGGACATTATATTTTATGCATGTATTAATATTATGTGTTCTTAATTGCATTATTTGAAATAAATTAAAACTTATCTTATGTACTACTACCATTGCTACAAAAGAGTAGGTTTAAATTTTGTCAAGGGGCCCAAGATGGAAAAAAGAAAAGAGTTCAGGCATAAGCAATTAGTTTCTTGTTTTTTATGTATATTTTTTATTTATTGTTATAAAAGTTACGAAAATGTAAAAATTAAAATTTGATTAAGTTAAATAACAAAACTTTAATTAAACAAAATAAAATGAATAAAACAATCATGATGGCGTGTGCACATCTCATGCATGAATATATAACTTGACGAGCATGCTGGTGACTTCATCATTTGTTTACAGAAAGCTGTCCTAGTGTGGTAATTGCTTCCTTCATACCCTGAGAGAGTCTAATGTACAGCTTCAAAGCAGTAAAATAAATCAGTGGCAGTTTTGAAAAGTATTAGCTTTGGCTGTAAGAATAAATATTCTGTTAGTATGCAGTAATTCTAAAATGAAAAAAAGGTAGATTTATTTTTTCATATTTTTCAAGTTTTCATTTGGTCTTAAATTGCTGATTTCACTATACTTAATGTTAGTGTAGAAAAAATAACAGATAAAATATAATGATTTACTGAAAATAAGTTTTAATATTCACATAGAAGTTATGCAAATTAAATTTTAAAACTCTACTTTTATTCTTAACATGAAAATCATCTTGCACTAGGACTGACTCCGTAAAGGCTTCATAAATTCACTGAAACATTTTTAGTAAAAACATTTAATTGCTAAATCTAATGTTTTTGTGTACAAAAAACTTTAAATGCTCACTAAAAGATTGCCCAAATTTCGTGAAGATATACTTACTACATTAAAAGTTGTATGTATAATTTTATGGTTACATAGTGGTTACAAGGTCAGTAAAACTGACTGAGCCTGTATACAGAGAGTTAATAACAATGCCAGTTTGACATACCTTCTTCAGTGTTGCATAAAGCTTCTACTGAAACATGGAAGCTTGCCATATTTTTTGCTTGAAGATTCTTGACCAGCCAAAATTTTTATACATGCTTATCATGCAGAATTTCAGTCCTGGGAACCATAACTGATTCATGCTACTAATACTGGGCATAGTATGACTATATACTTTTATAGGTTTGATACTGGTGACATTTTCTGACTGGTTTGATGACAACTAATCTCACTGTAAGCCATAAACATGTGGCTGTACTCTGATAAAGGGGTGGCATTCCTATTGTATTTGTTCTTCATACTGTTGTTTCTCACAATTTCAATAAATATTTCATATACTGCATATTGTAATAATTATTAAAAATATCTGACTTAGACATATTTCACAATTTTCAGTTGAAACAGTATGCTTAGCTGTTAATTATTTATACAAAGAGAATAACTAAGCCTAACATTTTTCATAAAAAAAAAATCGATCATTATATACTGAGATGGCATTGGTATCCCAAATACACTTTAAGAGCCCTTCCAGTAGTTCAGCGGTAATTTTGAAAACGTAGAGAGTTTTATGGTTAACAACGAACAAACTACCACAATTATTAAAGGAAAGGTGTAATAACTAATTTTGAAATTCCTCAATTGACTAATTTAACTGAATGAATAAGTTGATTTACCACAACTTACAATAGCCAAAAGGCCTGTTTAAACCTAGTCATGAGATATTCTTCAGCCACCTCTCTCAAGGCCCTATTACACCTTATAAGCTTCAGAAGTATCACACACTAGTTACGGTGCTTACAAAATTCTTCATTAGTGTCATGCAGTGTGAATACAATGTATTCCATCATTGGCCTTTTAACTTTTCAGCACCACAATGATCCCTCAAACACTAAGTAGAAGATTGTCTAATAGGCAACTCGGGCGACAGTCTTGGATGGACAGCCACTACTGCCATAATTGACAACCACATCTAAGTTGCTCTCATGTGAAATAAACACATCTGGAAACTGTCAAAATCAGCTTAGACACAAATGTAGACATTGGACAGAAAGTGAAACAGAAAAGGCTTATCAGCACCTGTTTAAAAACCATGGGGGAAGAGTATAAAATGAACCTTCCATTAAACTTATTGCTATAGTTTTAATAATAATAATAATAATAATTACATTTGCCTTCTAACCAGGGTCAAAGAAATTAACAGAAAAAATTAAAAAATGGCTCTCATCCTAATGTACTTGTCTAGATGGACACATGAAAGGTGCCCATTAATGACCCCCGTTTTTCTCAATATTCATCTTGCAAAATTTATGCACATCACAAAGTTTGACAATGCTCTATTTGATGAGCAATTTTTAAAGTTATACACTACAATTCTAGATGTAGCAGCAGCCATAATTGCCTGGGAAAAGTAAATCCAAATATTGTTCTGTAATACCTACAGGTACAGTTATTTTATGTTGCCAATCAACAGTTACTTTATGCCAGAAAGAAGGGAAATTTTAATTTTACTTCTGGATATCTTCCAAAGGTAGAATCTATTGTGTAAGTGAAGAAAAGAAAATTACTCACAATTGTCTCTCAATCACAATGCTTAAATGTCTGAGACACATGTGGTTAAGTCTGGGTCTTCTGCAATAGTGACTCAAGACCGTAGTACTAAAAGTCTGATAAATATTACGAAAGAAGCCTAACCACAACTTATACATTAAAATGTACATAAAGACATGGGATCCAGTTATCTAATGTATATAAACCATTAAACATGTTAGGGGGCTACTGTACTGTTAATGCTTGAGGAAATTCTTAGACAGAAAATAGTATGCTTGAAATATATTTTTAATGGACTATATCTGTTTAGGAGGGTTTTTTTATGCCATTTTGAGCTGCTAGTACAGATTTTCATCAGATAAAGATTTGTACTAACAGCTCAAAATGTCATCCAATAAAATGTTTTTAGATAGATATAGTTCATTGATAATATCTTTCAAGTAACATATTGTTATGTTTATATGTATGAAATTGTGTTTATGTTACTAATATATATATAATTTACATAGATGAACTTATCGTATGACAAACTGAAATAAAACAATTAAACTACATAGATTGAATTTTGAAAGTTAATAATGCAGCTAACTTATCTAAGGTATAATAGCTTTTCCCTGAAGTTGAAGGTAGAAACGTATGTTATCCACAGTGATCTGAAAATTATGTTTGAAATAATACTTCTTGTCTGTGGTCTTCAAAATATTCATGTAACCTCAATGAAATATGATTTTGTCACTGAAGGACCAAAGACCTACCCAGAAATGTCATACACATCATCATAAATGTACAAATGAGGACTGCATTGTTTAAACAAAAATTCAGCATATGAATATAAACTCATTCTCATAACATTTTGCAGATGTATATTAAATAAATTGTCCCTGTTTTACACCTTCCACGAGAACACAATCACAGCTGTGATGCTGTTTAAGCACGTTGCTTGTATAATATTGTTGTATCAAATGACCGTATTTCAACACCTGGTGTTTTTGTTTATTTTTATCTTTGTTTCTGAAAGCTGTATGAAAATTTTTACTGAATCTGTATTATTTTAAAAAATTGTTAAACCACTTAAATATAAAACTGAAATTCTGAATACAAAATAGTAATAAATGGATTCTGAGCTTTCCAAGCTAATTGGCTTAATTCCATCTAAGTTTGCCCTGAATAAGAAACAAAGTGATGACTAACTTGTTTTGTAGAGCTCAATGTGGTAGCTCAGTTGACTGAAGCACCTGCTATGAATCGAGTCCTGCTTTGTTTCAGGAAAGTTTTGAAATTCATAGTAATTTTCTATTCTTATATATGTATTTTGTTCATGTAGAAATACAAAGATTTTCACGATCTTCCTTTTTACTTTGTTCTTGTAGGTTAATGGAAAATATGTAATTAAGAGTGGAACAGACTTCAGGGAATTTTCAAAAATCACTTTGACCTTTAATCACTCAGATATAGATCTTAATATTGACAAAATTGATGTAACTTCAGAGTTTGAAGAAGATCCTGATCTGAAGAAAGGATTGGAAAAATACAATGGTAAGAACTTTAACAGAAGTGATGGCAATTTTAGAGGTTAAAAAAGTATTTTATGATGTCCTTAAAATTTGAGATGAAAATCTATTGTTGGTCAATAAATATATTTAGTTAATATTGATCTTCATGTTTTTTATTTGAAACTTGATGATCAATACATTTTCAGGCCCCATCTTCAACAAATTCTTTTATCTTGTTAAAAAAAAAAGATAATTTTAAATGCATTTGTTCCTCTGGTTCATGGCTTGAAGAAAAGTATGAAAGAAGTCAGTTTTAAGCTTTAGAGACTTGCATTTAAAACTTTACATGCCAGCTTTCACGTACATTTACATGGTGTAATCTGTATTGTTTTTTAATATTTCTAAATTAATTATGTTATTACAAAAAATATTGTTATGTAATTTTTATTGCAACCTTTTTCTTATTACATTGGCTACATTCAATGACCCTAAAGCATTGTGCAATGTCATGAAAGCTATACGCTATTTGATTTAAGCTTGAGATCTTGTAATTATAAGATTTGAATGTATAAAACTTTTTATGTGCTACTATTTGGTAAAGCTTAAGTCTCAAAATCAGGTAACTTTAGACTACTGGGTTATTTTTTATAGCTGTTACAGTTAGAAAATTAAGTATAACTTAAGAATTACTTTGTCTGAAATGGTATTGAATTGTTGCTTTATTAAAATGGATTGAAAGCAATCCTATGAAGTAAAAATGTTACCTCAGTATGAGTATTACATGAAAAAAATCATTTAGTGCCAAATCTACATTTTGTGAAAAATAACATTTATAATTTCAGCCTGTAAGTATAAGTAAGAATTCAAAAGTTAAAAATAAAGATATTTTAGAAAAAATGTGAGATTTAATTATTTAATTAGCAGGTGACAGTTCTGCTAGTTAAGTGTCAATTTGTTTGTGTATTTGGCAGTGATAGAGCAAATACTATTAAACCTAACTATTTTAAAACACTTTGTACATCAGTAAGTGTTTAATATGATTTATTTATACAGACGTTAATTGTGATTCTTGTATTTCACTGTAAATAAAACTCTTGGTCTTTACCCAGCTTTATAAAATGTTTTTATAGCTCCTTTTAAAGCAGATTGCAATTTTTATGAATAATTTTCTTACTTCATTCCCAGTCACATAAAGCTAGAACTTTTTAAAACAAATTCATAAATTATAATTGCAAAAATATATTTTTGAATAATATGATTAGCATATGATAAAAATGTATTAATTTTTTTCCCCTCCCCAGATATTGTTGAAGGAAAGATGGACACTCTTCTCGGTCATTTTATTGTCGACTTGGATGGTCGCTTTGCTAGTATTCGAACAAAAGAAACAAATCTTGGTAAATTGGAAATAATTCTGGAAAAATTCTGCATTTTATGTTGAAATGTGTTTTGTTATGTTTTCGTATATATATATATATATATATATTTAATGCACACCTATTTTGAATTTTTTTTTTGTAAATGGACCATAAAATTCATTATATTTAAAATTCTGTATGTATACCTGATTAACCTGAACCCAAAAGGCAAGCAAAATAAATCGTATCATATTTGGTGGAAATAGTATGTATGTATGTACACTCACTCTTTATTGTCAAGTGAAAGTGCTTAAATGTATTGTCTCTCTAAATAGAAAAGTGAATAATCCATATTTAGCACTTAATAACTGGTAAAGTAATGCAGAAAAATCCATTTTGCATTGTCTGATACATTTTAAATGTTTCTTTGTACATTTACCATGAAATTCTTTGTTTGGAAATCTCTCGTATGAATATACATATGATGTATATATATATGTTCATTACAGCTTCAGTTTAAATCATTCTTCATTCTAACTTTTTTTTTCTAGGTAATTTTGTCTGTGACATTATGTTGTCTTCTACACATTCTGACTTAGCTGTTTTAAACTCTGGAACTTTACGCTCTGATCGGATACATCCTGCTGGAGATTTTACGATGAGAGACTTGGTTACAATCCTACCCATGTTAGATCCCCTGCTGGTTCTTAATGCTACAGGTATAAATAGTCCAAGATAATTAAAAATTGGTAATTTATAAAGGGGAATAGGAAAAAAGTACAGAAGTAAATTGAATTAAAATGCAGAGATTATATTCTGAAGCCTGCAATTAGGGACTCTTGAAAAGGAAACACTAGGCTGAAAATAGTGTCTACATTATGTTCTCAAGCTACAAATCCTATTTTGACTCCAGGTCTACAGTACTGGTCAATTTTAGTGTACACACTATTTCCAGCCTCGTTTGTTTACTTTTTTAGAGCCCATAGTTGTAGACTTGAAAATATATCTTTGCCTTTGGATTCAACTTGTTTCTGTACTTTTTCGACAGTCCTTGTTCCCCCTTTTAAATTATCTTGTTTCTTAAAATTTTTTATGTCCATTTATGGAGAATAAATTATAAGATACATATGTGCATATGCTCTCAGTTGAATGTTACATGTGTTTCAACAGTGCTGCTACATTGTTTTTTTTCCATCGAGCCATTATGTACTGAGCCAGGTGGTTTTGTGCCTGAGGTTTCATGTAAACACGCACTTAACAAGCATCAAGTACAAAGGATGCTGCTCACAACAACATCGCATATATTATGTATTTATAGCCACATAAATCAACTTTTTAAATAGGTCATGGTCATTTGCAGCATATCATCTAGTATATGATTTTGCTATAGGCTTGTGAAACAAAAATCTGAATAATAATAGTAATAAAATAATACTAAAATATGCACTCACAATTTCAGTGAAGTACAAAAATCAGTAGAACAAATCACCACTCACAAAAGTAGAGAAATCTACTATGGTAATCATCTACTACTAGAAAACTCACTGAAATAGTTGTAGAAAACCATGTACAGACAAAGTACGACAATAAACTCGAGAAATAGTAAACAGCAAACTCGATAAAGGATGAACCCTCAACATGGCAGTTTCCAATCAATGTACATTAGTAAAACACCAGATTCTTTCAGTGGTAGAAAGTGAAGTACTTAGAGAAATTCTTTGTGGTGAAAAAACGAAAAACTACTCTATAACGTACTCAATACTGCATTCATTGCTATTGTCCAGGTTTTAGTAAAATATTCGTAGACGGTTTTCTGTAGTGGATACTAAGGTAGCAATGAGACTATGAATGCTGTCAGGATCTTGTTATTCTCAACGTTTACTATGAATGCTGTCAGGATCTTGTTATTCTCAACATTTCGACTACAAGTCTTCTTCATAGTCTCATTGCTACCTTAGTATCCATTTATCAACATGAATAATACTTACTTTTCTGTAGTGGCTTGTAAAACTAAATCAATAATAATAATGCTAGAGACATTGTTAGAAATGGACATACTGTTTACTCTAATAAATGGAAGTGTTTCCAAGTGGTATAACACAGAGCATTTCCAACTAATATAACAGTGCTTGAATGGCTTTTACATTACTGCAATGTTTCAATTGTTTCAGAGAGCTTATGATGGTAGCGAAAAAGAATCTAGAAAATTTTAGAGGGTGGAAATCTCAACTTTACAATAAATTATAATGTTTAATTAGAATTTTTGTGAAATTCCTGGGCGATCCCTATTATTAACCACTATTGTGGTCTATGGTTTTGTCTCATAATTTAAAGAACACTATTTCAAAGGTAGAACAATTAAACGATATTCGTTTTTGTATAATTGAGGCACCTTAATAAATCAGTGTATATCATGGCTAAAAGTGGAATTAATGCAGTACATTTCACCAACATCATAAATTTAAAACATTTGTCTGCTTCTTTAAAATACTCTAATAACATTAAAAGTTGAGTAGTTGGGATTAAAATAGTTGTTTTATATAAAGATTTTCTGAGTGCCAAAATTGAAGTGTTTGAGACTGCAGGTTAAGGAGCTATTGACAGTTTAGGAGCTATTAATTAATAGTAAGATTCTAATGATTCACCAATATTGTTGAATGTTGTTATTGTATGTTGCACTTTAGATTGTATTATGTGCTATTATCTTGTGAATGTAATTTCTATATTTCAATTTTAAAAGAGGTTTTCAAATTTTATATTAGTTCATATTTATAATAATTTTAAATTAGATAGAATGAAACAGTGCAACACAATTTATTCTTCTTAGTGAAGGATATATTGGTTAATCAATAAACAAAAGTTTAATTGTATCTCCATATCTAACCATTTCAGGTGTAGTACATGTTAGCTTTTTTGAATGATAAGCTTAAGTGATATTCTGTCCTCTAATTTTGGAAAAATAGCAATAAATGAAGTTTTTTTTGGGCTATTAGCGAAATCTGAAATTGTTAGTGAAATATATAAAAGTAGGTAGTGTGCAAGATTTCTTATCAATAATGTCTCAATTTATAAATTTTAACTACAAAAACAAGTCTATGACCCTTTCTTTGTAGCATTCTGAAAGCTACTCTGGTTAGTGTAATGCATTTGTATAGTATCCTTGTCTATAGGTTAATTATGAAATGTCTACTTGCACACTTTACTATGATAAGTTTTTGCTGTAAGTTGTCATATTATCAAAATTGGTAAAATTTTCAATTAAACTTAAAACTTTTGTTTTTGCATGAAGGAGAACAAGTATGGAAAGCTTTAGAAAATGGTGTGTCACAGTATCCTAAGCTGGAAGGGAGATTTCCTCAAGTTGCTGGAGTTAGTTTTGCCTTTGATCCTGCAAAACCTCCTGGAAGTAGAATTGATCCTCGTTATGTAAAAATTGGAGATGAATTCATGGAGCTTGATCAGGTCAGTGCCTTTCAGTACAGTTCAATGGATAAAAAAAATATATATTTGTGAACAAAATACACTTTAAGATAAGTAATAATAATAATGCTTTTTTTTCCCTAATTTTCAGAGATACAAGCTGGTGACCAAAAGCTATCTTGCTGCAGGAAAAGATGGGTATGATATACTAAAGGAATGTGAGATTCTGGTATGTTGGGAATTTTTATAAGATTGCTATTTTACCAAATGAACTTGATGAAAAACAATAATTCTGAATTTGATTGCAGTTGACTAATTTTATTATTACTCAAATTTTAATTGCTTTATTGATTATTAAGGTGGTAAAGCTGGGTTTTGAAGTCTTGAAAGATGAATTAGAAGTGTTATGAAATCAGAAATTTTGTAATGTGTAAAGTCTGGAATAAAAGAATAAGCTTATATAAAAAAAAAAATGCACAACATTTCATGAGAACATAGTGTTTAAATATGTCTGTACACAGTATGACAAACAACAGAAAAATTAAGACAATGGCCTAGTTATCAGGTGGAACTATTTTTAAGTGGGAGAAGTGGGCTATCCAGATGTTTGTTTAGAATGAACCTGTAAGAAATTATCATCTTTATTTATTTTATTTTTTGGTGATGGAAGTATTATTATTATGTGTCTAAAATTTCTACTATGTTAATAGTGGTAATTTATCACATCCAAATTGATGTTCAGAAACAGCTGTTAGTTTACATGTAAGGGTAGGTCATCCAGCATTGAAGAATAACACTTTGATATAAATATCAGTGGGGTTTAGAAACAATAATACTTTGTGGGCAGAGATTTTATGAACATTAAGAATAGGAAACTATTTATACAATAGTTATAGAAATTAATCACAGATAATCAAACTATTTTCCAAATAGTATTTTTGTAATACTGTATTTTTTGTGTGGGGAAAAACAAAGATTTTTTTTTACTTTATAATATGCTATTAAGTTCTAAATTTCAACAGAAACAAATTAATTTGTATGTGCTACTATTTAATGAAAAACACCAACAATGTAGAGACTCATTACTTTGATTCTGCTTTCATGGGTCACAGACTTGCTAAATTGTTTTGCAAATTTAAACAAGATTCTGTGCAATTTGCTTCAAATATCATAGGAAAGTCCTAGTGTTAGTTCTAATTTAATAACAAACAGTATCTTCCTCTTCATGAGAGTTAGGTTTAATGTAAAACAAATTATATTATCTACAAAGCTCCATCCAGTGTCTTTTTAAGATTGTTGAAAGTAAAAATATTTTGTGATTTATAAAGTTATTATTAGTTCTTTTAGCAAAACATGCAGAAATATATAGTCTTATACAACACGTATAGAGTACAAGCTTGATATATTCTAAATAATGACTAATAAAAAGTCTCGCATTTGAATGATGTAAATCAATGAAGAAATTTTCGGTTTTCTAATCAAGTAAAGACGTCCATTTTACTAATGATTTATTAACACATTTTAAAGTGTGTATCACTGGAATTTAATATCTAAAGATTTTAAAAAAGAGCTAGATGTTATTTAATTAAATGGCAGCTAGTGAATTCATTTTGTTGAAAAAACCAAAATCATTGTATTTTAAAATGAAAAAACAATCCCATCTATCATAGGTTTTCAAACTACAGTACAACAGAAATATAAGGAATTCCGCTTTTGTTAAATTAGATATTTTCTTAATGTATCAGGACATCTGCCTTTGCCCCTCAATTCATGCTTTTGCTGTAGATATCATGAAAGATATGATATATCTATCAGTGTACTTGATCACAATTTCCTCACCTTGCTTTAACAGGATGTGTTTAATTACATATATCATGAACTATTGGTTTAAAAGTTTGCCATGAACTTCTTCATTAACTGTTACTTAACTATCTCCTTAAATATCAAATCACACATCTAAACTGTCCAACAGGATATATTAGATGATATTTATGCACTTATATGTATCACTTTTGTTTGAGATAGATTATAATTAGTTAAAGATACAAATGTAATGTCATAATTTGCCAAGGTGTTACCTTTTAATAACTCACACTCTACACTGTGAACCCATAGGTGCATTATAAGAGTGACAGTCAAATCACACTGTTGGTCTGACAAGAATAGCCAAGAATTAGTGGTGGGTGGTGTTGACTAGCTACCTTTACTCTAGTCTGTCATTTCAACATTAAGCATGGCTACTGCAGATGACCCTTGTGGCTTTGCATGCAATCCAACAAACACTTTTTGCTGATAATTTATAGTTAACATGATTTTATCATTGTGTAGTTGACAGAAGAGGAAAGCCCAGAACTCCGTACAGCTGTGCAAAACCACTTTGAGTCTATTAATGTGCTCACCGGTGCCGTCCACCACCGTTCTCGTCACCGTCAAAGCTTGGTGTGTGTATCTCGCAGGTGAGACACTATTATTACTATTTATACAAGTTTATAGGTGATTTAGCCCTACAAGTGAATATAGCCTGTAACATACATTATTGAAGAAATCAATTAATTTGTTATAGTTATGTTGTCTGAACTTGGCATTATTTTACCAAATAATCCAAAAGAATACACTCAATGATAGAACATGTTATAAAAATATGTTTATTTGGTATTAAAAAATTTTTCGACATACTTTCTCTTCAGACACAGTGTTGTCAAGATGTATGAAGACAGTAACCTTCAAATTCATCGTGTTCCTCTACAGCGAGGATATAGTTTAGATGCAGTTGGTAAGCGAAACCAGTTTGTTACCGTGAAGCAAACTTCACTTGATGACATTGAGCATGAGCAATGCAAGTTGGAACCAAAAGAAGAAGGCCGAATCTCTATCCTAACTGAAGAGGTAAGCAGAACTTCTTTCAACAACCATTTGGCAATTCATTTATATTAATAGAGTTTTTAATATTGTGCCCGATTATAGCATGATAATCAACAATCAACTGTTTTCTAATAAATTAAATGAAATCCTCCCCCATGTTTAAAAACTATCCTTACAAAAATGTTATTTTCAAACATGTTATCTAAAATGCAACTTCATCAATAATTAGTTGTTTCCACACCTTCACTAGAATGTAGCTGGAAAAGAAAATATACTAACAAATAAATTCTCTTATATAAAAAAAAATAATAATAATAATTTTGTTCAATGTAATTTAAGGTGCAGTTTTTTACACTCAATAGGTAATGCGTTTGCAAATTTACTTATTTTTTAACATTTGACACAACAAAAGTGAGACGTAATGTCATCTTAAGGTACTGTTTTTTTTAGACAGTGCAATTGTTTGGAGTAAATTTGTAAATATTATTTATGGCACTTTGACTTGTTAAAGTTTCTAAAATAAAAATATATATTCAGTGTTATACTGGTTTTTATAAGAGAAGCTAATAGTTATCTTTCACTTACTAATGATGTCTGTCGCTATAGAAAAAACTACCATCAAGTAAGTGCAGTCCTTTCCTCCACACTTCCCTAGGGAAACTGAATTCAGCTGTAAAAGTACATTAGTAACTTATCAGATACTAGGGCTAACCAATTACCAAACAAGCTTGAAAACATCCTGCAAGAGTGTTATAGAAACATGCATTCTTTTTTTAACAGAATGATTTGTTTACAACTTTGTTTTTCATGTTTGATACAGTTTTGTTTGTTTTTGTTTTCTTAGACAGCATGGAATCATGGTGTTCTGGTACATTTTCATTTATATTCTAACCTTGATACGTGGCGTGATACTAGTTACGTGACCTCGATGTCGTAACAATATTCTAACCTTGATACGTGGCGTGATACTAGTCACGTGACCTCGATGTCGTAACAATATTCTAACCTTGATACGTGGCGTGATACTAGTCACGTGACCTTGATGTCGTAACAATATTCTAACCTTGATACGTGGCGTGATACTAGTCACGTGACCTCGATGTAGTAACAATATGCTAACCTTGATACGTGGAGTGATACTAGTCACGTGACCTCGATGTAGTAACAATATTCTAACCTTGATACGTGGCGTGATACTAGTCACGTGACCTCGATGTCGTAACAATATTCTAACCTTGATTGCATTATTTTGTACCAAAATTTGTTTTTCTTTTTGCATGCTTGGTTATTTTTTTGCTTGACTTCTGCACTTTCAGAAACTTCAGCACCAAACCTTTGACCTTGTTTTTGTGTGTCAGGCAGTGCTAATCTCCTCTTCCTGTCTACAGCATGAACCAGGGAACTGCTTCAAATTGACGAAGACCAAGCTTTGTAGCATAATCTGATGATGAAGTAGTGACTCCTGCCTGCAGCCTCCAACCTTTGTTTTATAGTCATTTCAAATGTGATATTTTAAATATATTAGATAAAATTATTATTTATACATATATGTTAATTTTGTTTTATGCTCCTCTACCTCAGTTTCTTATAGTTCAAAATAGTACTTACATGTTGTTGTTGTTGTTCAAAGAACAATTTTGTTTATATTTTGTTGGACTGTTTCCAAGAGTCCCTTGAAACAATGTGTATCTATTTATTTTGTTACTGTACAAGATTTAATGTTTGTATTTTATTTTTTGTTTCTTTTATTTTTTGAAATAAGGAAAACTAAAGTGCTTGTAACATTAAACTTCAGTTTAAGCTTACCTTAAATATATGTACATATATATTTATTTATAATGTCACATGGTAGTTTTAAAAATAATGAGGCTTCTGAATGGCTTGCTAGGTTAGTAATTGGATACTAGAATATCAAGAAGATAATATGTATTACACCACCCCTACACACACATACACATTTATTTTTTAAATATTTTCATTAAACAATTATCTCACCACTTAGTGTTTTTAAGTAAAATGGGCAAATGTTATTTGACAGTTTTCTGTCAAACACTAAAGTACACAGTTACAAACAAAAAAGTAAAGATTGAATATTATTAACTGAAATAAAAAATGTGGATTACAGAAATGTGATGCTTATGCATTTGTATGAGCAGTAGCAATTTTGTTTGTCGTAAAAGATGTTTAAGAAATTTCTTGATTCCCCTTTCAGAAACAGATAATATTCAAACTGTTACTTGATTTGTTCACAAACTGTATGGATGTAATAATACAAATTTCTGTTATTCAAGAAGTTCTAAGTCAGCATCTACAATTCCTCAAAATACTGAAAGTACTTGTACTTGCTCTAGTTTTATCCTTATATTTATTTTAAAGTATGTTAAAATGCAACAAATATATGAAAAAGCAGTGGAATCAAGATTCAAACCTGAAAACAAAACAACAACCATAATTTACTACACCCATTTTAACAATCAATTATTGTTAAGTGGAAAGAACCAACATGTTTGTTTACACTTGTAGTATCATAAAAGATAATCCTCTCTAACTATATGTATTTCAGTTTCAACCTACAACAGCTCTCAGTCCACAACTAAACTAGAAAAATATACATTATCAGTTGTCAAACCTTCTTTTAGCAGAATACTAATATAATAAAAATGTTTTAACACTAAAATAAACTGTAAACCGGTTACTCAAAAAAAAGTTCATTTACGGTTTTAGCAAAAGTGGAAGCAATTGTTACCAATAATGGATTTCTGGTTTTATCACAGTGGTTTCCAGAATATATAGATTTCTCTCATCTTGTACCCTGAGAAGAATCTTAGACTTTGGTCGGTCAATGGGCTGTAATTACAGAAAACCATTGAGATAAAACTGAGAAAATGGGCAATAAATAGCCAGTAATAAACACTTCTGCATTTACTAAACCAGTTACTGTAGTTGAAAAAAAATCAGTAATGAATTTTATGACAACGATGTGGAGAGTATCATATCTTATTTTAATGATACTCTAACTACTGTATGAGTGAGCAGCTACTTGTATATGAAATATATAACAATGTTAAGTTGCTTATTCATGTGACTTACAACATAATATTGAAGACAGATATAGTGTAGTGCAAATACTATTACAGTACAAATGTTTAATGCAAACATTTTGATAGTATAAACTATTCTTCTACATGTGTACTGTAATATTTAAATTTTGTTTTTTTGTTTTAAGTAATGGATTAAACGTTTTTCAGATAGTTTCCAGGTTCAATGACCTCAGGATGCTTAAGTTAGCCACTAGACTAATAAATTATATTGGAATTGTTTATTTCAACAGTTTCAGCTTGCTAATAATTAACAAGTATTACTAATAATGTTACACAGTAATATAAATTAAATTCTATAATTTAAGAATGATTATTTTACACCTTGTTTAATATTTTATTTAACTACAAATATTGTTTTTGATTGAATGACACCGGGAGATGAGATCACTGTGTCATTCCTGATATTTGATCCTTGGTTAAAAATTAATGTGTACAACTTGGTACCAGCAGTTAAAAGCTGTGGTCTCACATTGGTTAGGTTACCTTCCCATTTTATAATCTTAGTGTAATGTTTATTTATTATCTTTCTTAACAGTATGGATTAAATTATGTGATATATTGAATGCCATTACTTTGTAATTTTGTTTTTTATTGATATATTTTATCATTATACTTTTATTATAGAGATTGTTCAGCATTATTAGCTTAATATATGTTTTTAGGGCCAACCTAACTCTCCTAAGCTGGCTGAACTTTGTGAGATATTATTGGAATTATGGCTGAAAGTATTGTTAACAGCAAAGGTACCCAACTAATGAAACAATGCATTCTAAGAAGAATATGCAAAAGTATATTTGATTAGCTTTAATCATAGCCAAGTTGATTTTTAGTTTGGCTCAAAGTACATAACTTACTCTAATCAGAAGTTAATTGTGTACTTGACAATGCTACCTCTTGGTGTTGAGTTTGTTTTTGCCAATTTTACAAAATTATTGCCATTATCACAATAATAAAATTTGAGTTTGTTTTAATCATACATGTGTGTGTGAAATATCTTTGTCCATGATAAATCAAAATACATCATAGGTTCTAAGAAATAGGATTTATTTATTTATTCATTCATATTAAACATATGTATGCTCATTCCTGAATTTTAACTCCTATATAGGTATACGTAAGTAATGAAATGTCTTATACATGTACATGATCTTAGTCATTTATTAGACATTGACTTGAGAGCTTATAATACACTATGCCAATCTATGATAAATTGTGGCACATATAAGAGAATGAGCATACAAATAACAAAAGGTTTTATTATCTCAGATAAATTCTATCAGTCATGTGTATTTGGATGTGTACTGCATGAAGACCCTACTTTGTCTAGGTAGTGTTTGAGGATTTTATATAAATTATAATTTTTTATTCTTAATTACTTTATACGTTAAACAGTTTGATTTAGTTGTATTGTAGATTTTATGATTGATTCTGGGCTCCATAGTGTGAAGATCTTGTTTTCAAATACACTTAACAATAATTTAATCATTCTTCAGAACCCTAACATAACCATAATTTGTTTACCTACCAGTTATATTACAGTTATCAAGTGAAATACTTAAATGCTTGAAGCATAGTTTTAACCTAAATTTATATCTCAAATATTCTGTTTTAAGGAAATATTTAAAACTACAAACTAATTGCCAGTATTAAATTCACATAGTTTTTTACACTTTTCATGTAAATAATAAAGTACATGTGACAAAGTATATCATACCTATCACAAAACTTGCTCAGACATTCATAAAGCACAAACAGGAATCCTAATAGTTACCATCTTCAGTGGACTAATCTGTTTTAAAATGTTTATGATTATGTAATTATGGTAAGTTGAGAATCATTTTAACTCACATTAAAATACATTTTACTTGTTAATCATAGTTTCAAGAACAGCTTTTTATTATCTCGTGGTTGTTCCATAACAAC